TCGATCGGCCTCGCCTCCTGTCCTCACAACTCTTATCAATCCCGGGACCGGACAATTGTTATTTGTTCCTACTCGGAACCGAGTTTTGCTTCCCAACCCCGCCACTGTGCTACACTTCCCGCCCCGCGCCGTCACTTGTCCGCCGGACAAGTCAATTGAAAGATCTACTTGTCCGATATTGTAAATAAAACGTCCCGGACGGTGGGACGTGTACTTTTTCGCACACTGCTCTTGTACCTGTTTGGGGGGCCGGTGGCGGTTGTACTCCTCTCCCCACAGTTTGGCCTCCATTTGCAGCCTGACGTCCTCAAAGTAAAGGTTCCTGTCCACCGTCTCCATGTACTGCTTGGACACATAGTTAGATGCTGACTTCCAGTTGCTGCTGTGTGAGAAATTAGACAACTTCTTCCTGGAGGGAAATAAGAAATAAGATATAACAGTAGTGAGGACGGAAGCATTTCAGTTTTTGTTATGTATTCTCAGTTCATACGTAATAAATATACACAACTAAAGCAATATTTAACTGCTCCAAACACACATACTGTATTTAAAGGCCAACCGGAACAGCATTTCAACATTATGGATGTAGAGATTTTTTAAAACTTGATTGGGTTTTTAGAAGTAGGAGATGTATTTTTCATGCTCCGGGTTTTGTCACATTTCTGCGGGATACTGGAAACAGCTGAAGTGGGAGGTTGTTGAATGCTTCTCTTATAACTGAAGATTAGACAGGAACAATCTGACTATTCTCTGTCATTCTGCAGTTTCATGCAGAGGCCTAAACAAAGCGAGGCAGTGATACGCTTGAATTAAAAAAATCCAGGGATTCAATCAAGTAAAATCCCTGTCGCTAGAATAGAATAACTTCTACTCCTACTACTTCGACTGTAATATTTGGCTGCACAACAAGTGGTCAACAATGCAACACATAAAGTACTGTACATAAAATATACACTGTTTTCACAATAACTTTTTACCGGCACACATACATGTAAACATATTTAATATGTATATATGCGACTCAAATATGTATGTTTATTTAATTCATTTGATATTTTAACAGTAAACCTGTCTATAATTTTAATTTTATCTTGAATTTTATTCATCTTTAATCTTGTGTGAATCTGTGCTGTCCTGTTTTTCAATCTCACCCTGTTGCTGTTTAAACTACTGAATTTCCCCACGGGGATTAATAAATGTCCATCTTATCTTATTTTTCGTACCATGTTTGGCTCTGAAACTAATCCTATCCTCCCGAGTCCGAGCCACAAATGTGAGGAATGTGGACTTGCACCACTTATAGGCTAGAAGATAAATGCTGTGCTTTGTTTACACTGAGACCACGAGGGCCTCCGTTACTAGAACATGAGGGCAATAACCGCTGGATAACAACTGAGGAATAATTCAACTCACGTCCTGAAGCACTCCCTCATGGACCCTTTCCCAAACGGCTGTGAGAAACAAGAGAGGAAATAAATAAGATACGTCTTTTTTTTTTTTAAACAATCCTTCGCCAAAAAAACAGGACTACCTGGGAAGCCATCTTAATGTGGACCTGGTCTTGAGCCCACTCTCCTGTGCTGGCATTGTACCTGCAAAGAGGGAAAGAGAATGGAGTCAGAATCAGATGAACGGTCATTTTGATTATGCACACTCAACTGTGTTTCTTTAAAAATCTTCTTTAAATCCACATAATCAACATCTGTAGTACGGATAGTGATGCTACAGATGTTCTCGCTGCCTGACAAACCATCAGTTTCTCAGAGCTGCTTTGTTTCAAATAAATTAGTCTTTTAACCAAACTGGTCTCAGGCTTCCTAAAAGGTGAAATGTTTTAGGTTTTTCATTGATGTAATCTTTGGTGTTTGGACTGTAACCAATCTGAAGGCATCAGCTTGAACTCTGGGCAAATGTCTTTAAATCTGACTTGTTATAACCTAAAATGTATTGAAGATGAAGAACAGAAAAGTTAAGAGATACCCCACAAACATTATGCATTACATTAATGCACATCATATGAATAACATCTTGTTCTTTTTCCCTTAATAATGTGAGCCATGCTCAACTCTGACATTTTTGAACTCAAGTCTGCACAGCCCCCCACTTTAAAATATAATACACTATAGTTTGCCATAAATTGTCATATTTTCATTGTCCTAAGTGTTTTAGCTTTTAAGGTTCTTTGTATATTTAAATCAAAATGTGGTGTAATACTCTAAATATTATTTGTTTTAATGCTAAATTGATCTAAAAATACTTATTTTTTATTATCCTTCTATATTTCTTTTTGTACCTACTATTGCAACTTCTCTTTTTAGATTGTTTATGTTCACACCACCAGATACCAAAGCAAATTCCTTGTATGTGTAACATGGCAATAAACTTGATTCTGATGAGATAAAATGATCTTAAATTGCAGCTCAACCTCCATTACAACTTTTTGGAACTAAGTGTACTGCAGCTCAGCGAACTAGCGTCTCTTTCAAAGATCTCGGCTGTGAGACTCTCAGACTGGGTCTGCTCTGTGGCGCTTGTTTTTATTTCCCACCTGTTCCATGAATCACTCTCACTGGATGGTCTACGACACTGGCTGGATGCCTGGACTCTTATTTCTGTATTGATTCTTCTTCTGTTACTAAAAGAACTCATAAACGTTCCAGTCTCGATCACAATAGCCACGTTACTCTTTGCACACTGAGTTCGTCTGTCAACAGATCAATTATTAACATAGAACATCTAATTTCCTCTTTACGGAGTATCAACAATGAGAGACACAAATGTGTTTCCTCTTTCTTTCTTTCTTTCTGTACCCATTTCTTTTGGTATAACTATTAAGGGTTAATGTGTTTGATGTACTCAGGGAAGAGGTCATATGGTGATAAGAATGTCTGGGTCAGGCTGTCTGTTTGACTTGGTGGGGCGTTTGTGCCGGGTTAATAAGTACAGCATGAGGTGCAGCTGCAAGTCTTCACAGCTGAAAACCTGAAGTGCCTTTATCCTAGGAACTCAGTTAACCTTTCCATCTCCACTTGAAAAAAAAGAACATTGCTCTATTCCTCGTCCAAAAGCTTTTCTGCCAACAAACAGCTTCAGCCTGAGAACAGGGCGTACTACAGCCACAGTCATTCCATCAGGTCCACATCCAGAGAGGGAAGTAGGAGTGAGGTTACAGAAGGATAACATTAGCACATGAAGAGAGAAGGCAAATCCTCGCTGCTGGCAATCACTCCTCTCCGCGCAGTCAATTCCAGTCTTGTTTGTTATGTATCGGACCCAACACACACATACTAGCATAAGAATCCTTTTTCCTGTTTCTCCACCCACACCCATTTATTTCTGTCAGCCTTGATGTATAAACCTGCCCACGCCTGAGAGCTCTGCAAGGGGTGTGGATGTTTTTGTAGCCGCCATGTTGGCCATTTATATCTGGCTACACTAAGATTAGAAACACTGACTGATATATTAGCCTGTGAAACCTGCAGCCGCCTCAATGGCAGCTGGCTGAGAAATGTGCAAGGGTAGCACATCTTCTCAAAGTCAAGGAGGACAGAATACTATCCCTGCACTGAGTTATTGACTCACATCATAGTAAACATATGCTTACGTGTTTGGGCATGAAGCCTGTGTAGGAGGGTTCCCAATGGGGGTGGGTCTCTCTTTTAGTGTCAACAAATACAAACATAAGTTGTAGCTTTATACTTTTAAGTTACTTATCAATGTTTTTTTATTTTGACAATGGGAAGGATGAAATTGTGTAAAGGTAGTCAGTCGTAATGAATGTTTTTACGCGACCAAACGAGATTTTAGAAAAACATTACATTTAATTAAGAAGGTGATCTATTGTAAGCAATCATAATTGTTTTATCTTCATCCCCCTCTTGTATATTTTTCAAAATTCATGAGGCAGTACTAGCGGTCATGCAAAACCCTCTTTTCACCCTCTGTCTGCAACTATAGACAGTCTGCCCCGATTGGTTAGCGGGGCCAGTTCTGCTTTGATTGGTCAACTGTTTAGAGATGTCCCATGCTGGCCAATAGAAGCGCCAAGTAAACAAAGGACTCTAATTGAGGTGTTTCAGGCAGGGGAAGGAGTGTGTGGGCGAGAAACTCTATCTGGTGTGACTTTTGGGATTTTAGCCTTTGCAGACCATTTACATTACATGTCACTTGTTAAGACGCTTTTATCCAAAGCGACTTACATACCTAATACTGTGGACAATCCCCACAGGAGCAATTTGGGGTGAACTGTCTTGCCCAGGGACACAACGACATGCTGACTGCAGTGGGGTTTGAACCTGTGACCCACTGATCCCAACACCAAGGCTCTATCCACTGCNGAAGGTGAAATAAAATACAAGGAAATAAAGCATGTTTTGTTTGTCCACTGTATTTTCTGGTATTGATTCAAGTCAATAGCACACGACCTGGAAGGTATTGAAGACAAATCTCAACTTTTGAATGGAAAACTTTTTAACTTGCACAACTTTATTAATTTTAAAAATAAGGGGGGAATAGAGTCCAACAATAAGATGTGTCCTATTTGTACAGTCCAGTTATTATATCTGGTATACATGAGGAGTCAATGGGTCACAGTACATTACATTACATGTCACTTGTTAGACACTTTTATCCAAAGCGACTTACTGTGGGCAATCCCCACAGGAGCAATTTGGGGTGAACTGTCTTGCCCAGGGACACAACGACATGCTGACTGCAGTGGGATTTGAACCTGTGACCCCCTGATCCGAACACCAACGCACAGCCCACCACTGCACCACACGCCTCCCGTGAACGCTGTTGGAAATAAATGATCTTTTCATTACAAAAACTGCTGAAATTTCACATCAATATATATTAATATAAAATAGGTGTACTAAAATACAATTTTACATTTACTTTAAACAATTAAATGCTAACATTCACTCCACCAGATGACAGTCTTTAAGCTAGTTTTCATGGTTGATGTTTCGAGGGAGGAAAGGAAAATCACACACTTCATGTTACAGTTACAATAAGTACTTTATTGATTCCACAGTGATGCCAGCGCCTGACAGATAAATATACAGTTTATCAATGTACAGCTTGCTGAGAGACAATACACACAGTCCCTTGTACACATACTTAATGTTTTAAGTGTTTAACATACTTTTGGCTGGTTTCCTTGTCAAAGTATATATGGTCCCCATTGAAAGATGTGAGTTAGGTTGTTTCTGTGTCTGTGAAAGAAGCCCTTTCAAAGTTTCGCTCTGTTAAGATAATGTGCTGTTACATGTGCAAATCATCTGATGGTGCAGCAGCAATATAAGCAATGTGTATACTGTGTGTGTGTCTGTGTGTTTGCATGAATAACAGATCTGGAATGCAATACATTTTATTTACAATAGATACATTTAAACTATCAATATAGGAGGAAAACGTGACATCTTATTTTGTCAGTAGTCTCAGATTCACACCAAGCAAAACTGATATTATGAAATAAATGCTGTTGCAATCTGATTTCATCCACTGAACTTCTTTATGCTTACTTAGTTTGCAGTGCAAAATTATTTGCTGGCAATTGCAAAATAGTGTGATTTTATAGAAGCTATTCATACGCAGTAGTATTTTAATTTTCAGTATCATCTTCATTTGAATAAATCTTTGTGTATACCCTTTAGTGCAGCCGTGCACACATACAGGCATGCTCACGCATCAACTTTCAGTCACTCATAAGCCACAAATAGCAGATCTATACACACACATATAACCATACACTCACATTTTCAAATCATACCATAACAAAACAAGTCTAGATTCCAATCTTGTATTCATATCCAGGATGTGTTTCTTCACTAAGCAATGTTTGTTAAATTATCTGTTTTGTCCTTATTTTACCTAAACCCACCGAGTTTTGAGCTCTTCAAATGTTAAGAGACATCAAAATTACAAATCCTATCCATCTCTGTGGTCTTTTTTTAAAACACTAAAACAAAGATTTTTACCAGGATTTTTTTTATTTCTTTTACCCACCCTTCTGCATAGGTAGCTTAAACAGGCAAAGTTAATGCTGACGACACCAACTTTTTCCACCAGTTAGTAATGGCTCTAGTTATCCTCAATTGATCTGTTCACTGTGCAATCACTGTATGTCAGCCTTTTTCTACACTTTACATATTAGATTCCTGAAAACCTCTTCAAAGTTCTGTTTCAACAGCACCAGCATTCTGTAACAACAACGCTCATCTTTTACCCCACAATCCACCCTTGCCTGCGTTTCAAGTGTAGGTCTGCACGACTCAGTTTGTCGCCTTTCTTCTCGCCCTTTACTTCAGGAGCGATATGTCGTCAGCAAAGTCCCCGTGTGGGTAGATGCAGCGGGCGAAGCGCCACTGGCACACCATGAGACACAGCGGCAGCATGAAGAGAGCGCAGATGCCCGCCATGATGTAGGCGATGGTCATGAGAGTGGACTCGTCCGTCTGAGGGATGTTGTAGCCGCAGTCCTTGAGGTCGACGCCGTGGAACGGGCCCTCCACAGAGGCTGTGCGAAACTCATCATGCACTACGAATGACAGAAAAGGAATGTAAGTATTTTTTGTACTTACATTGTTATTTAGTACAGACAAAAGATATAGAAGAAAGATGCATAATATGATGAAATACCAACTACCATTTCAAAAAGAAATTAAAATAATAATAATAACAGAAAATAGTAATATTGAATAAATACATAACAATAAAAAGTCAATAGGATCCCTTCAACATTTTAAATAACTAGGTTGACTGTCTGATTTAACCAAGGAATTCAAAATGTACTATTCCATATAATCCCACTCTTTGTTGGAGCTTATTTTTTGCCAACTTAATGTTTGGGTGTGCCACCTTTTCATGGTTTGTGACAAGAAATTTGTTTCTCAATATATTTTTTAGAAACCTCACCATGGCAGGTGCTGACTGCAAAGCCGATACGTTTATTTTCTCGGTCGAACACCACATAGAAGCCTTCCATGATGACAGCCCCCATCACCGTACCAGTGCTGGACTGGGACACAGCAAACTTGTAACAGTCCTCCTCGGCGGAAGCCACGTCCTCCACTGGCCGCAGGTATTGCTACATAAACAACAATGAAAAATACAAATTAAGGATGTCAATCTTTTCCAATTCCGGGTATTTATGCCATTGTTATGTCTGGGGCCTTGAAATTAAGTGCTAAAAGGCTAAAGAAGTCGGGTACTTTCATTGTGGCCCACTTTACGCCACAATGAAACTAAATGTGCTATCATTACATATTTTGTCCACCAGAGAGCACTGACATGTGCTTTTTGTATCTTGAAAATGCCCCTCTCAGTAAAATGTTTAGTCAGAAGCCTTTATCCTAAAATAAGGTATCTTTATCAAATGTTGTTTTAATTAAATGTATGAGATAAATACATAATGATGTTCAGACTCTTTAAACTCTGAGTGATTACAGTTCCAGCCATAAATATTCTGTCATCTTTGTCTGTAATTTTCTTATACGTAGCTTCAATGTACATTCAATATGTGGTGTATAACCTGCTATATAAGAGAAGGCAAGAAAAGTAAAAACTTATCTTGAGCGTTTCAATCTGCTGTCAGCTTCAATGTCACAGACCTCCCACACATTTAAAGCACCTCACTTCTAAATCCCCCTGTCCATCTTTTTTATTCCACAACCATCAAGGTCTTTTCATGTAGCTTTGAATGAAAAACGCTTAATGACTTTTCAGAACTTTCTGAAAAGCTTTAGAAAATACATTCAAAGGAAATTTTCTCTGAAATGTGGTCATTGTATTTTTCCTCATGGTACCTTGCCATGCTTTCATCTTTTGAGACTACATAAAATAGTCTGGCTAAAGGATAAGAAGACTGATTGTGAACAGACTTCCTGAATGAGTGCAGAGGGGAATAACATACATATATTTCAGTTATCCGGCAGTCAGTGTAATCATCATAGACCTTGTAATTACAAAGGATGTACGTGACTCAAAGCTATGTACAATTATTTCAAATTTCTGAAAAATACCAAAACCTGAGTGCTCAAAAGTGCAGCCTATGTCAGAATAATGGGTGAAATGTTTTCTATCCTGAACAAACCCACATGTCTAAAAGAACAAGAAGTGACATGAATCACGCTGTCATACAGAAGCAGACAAGGAGGCCGATAAAAAAAAAAAAAAAAAAAGGGTACATTTCCATTTCAATGTCATCTACCAGTTCTGAGGTGTGATGAATGTCAATCTAAAATTATGTAAAAGTGGCATAACCTGTATGTGATTTAGGACAACTCATGATGTGAAAAATTGCCTTAAACAGAATTGTAAAGAGCAGATTTCCTGTAGTTTGTGCTCTTTACACTGTGGGAAAAAAACAGATCTTATTCACACCCGCAAAGAACCGAAAAAGAGATTTTGGCAAATGTTGCCTGCAGTGTCACTATCCTTACAGGCCGAGAAGGTGAATCCAGCACTTGTTTCCAATCATGAATCAAGGTAAAATGAAACACAGTAGCTTCTGATGATTTTAAAAATAATTTCACTTGAGAAATATAACTTCATATGGGACAAATGTTTTCCACACATGCAACAAGATTCAGCTTCAGTAGAGAGACAGTGTAATACCTGCGGCAGGATGGAGATTCTGAAGGACTGGTTGTGGTTTTCACTCATCAGGTAGAGGGAGATGACGGGGAAGATGTGCCAGGGTGTAGTACCAGCCTGCCAACAAACCAGCTGCTCCCCCAGCCAGAACCCAGAGGGAAACTGCTCGGTCTGAAAAACAGGGTCCAGAGGTCAATCGTTTATTTTCCCAAAACCACTTATTATAAATCAGGCTCATGTGGACATGAGACTGGAGGTAAGCCAAAGGTTTGTGGGAAAAAACATTCCGTATACATATAAATCGTTAATATCTTCTACAATTTTGACTACAAAAGTATGCCATTCGATCGAAAACAAACAAGGTTTTGCAGAAATGTAAGCAAAAATATTTTAATCCGACAACTTTGAAATGGAAAACTGGGAGATACTAACATGTCTTAAGTTCTTTAAATAAGTGTATCTGATCAGATCTTATTATGAATCTAAGATGTCCTGCCCAAAGCCATGCTATAAAAAAGTGAGAGCATTCTTTAAAAATGTCCATTAAATATAATGTGAGTCTTGAGCATTTCGTTGTTCAAATCCCAAATCAAAACAAACTTCTTCAGAACTGCTTTTAATCTGTAATTCATGTTTTGTATTATATATTTTAAGTCTGTTTTAATTATGTTTTTATGATTTTTACTCTGTAAAGTGTCTTTGAGTTTCTAGAAAAGTGCTCTATAAATGAAATGATTTATTATTATTATTATTATTGTATTGTCTGCTTTCATGAGACATCTCAAGAAATGAGTAATGACCAGGAAATCAAAGCAGAGTCATGTAGATATGAATAAGGTTATCCATAGCATTGACTGACCGAAGAAGCTGCTTCAATAGCCTTGACTGCAGCCTTGAAGACTTTTCTAGGCAGTCGAAGGTTAGTGGTGCCGCTGTCCACGATGCTCTTATCATAGTTGTACTGTAAAAGAAAAAAGATCAGTCACCAATTAACAATGTCTTACATTTTGTTGACATTTGAATCATTCTTACTTTCGTTTTTGCTGTCGTCTATCAATCCGCCACATCTTACCTCTTTACAGTCCATGTTCAGATCCTGTCCGTTCACCTCAATGCGCACGATGATGACCTCATAGTACCACTCCCTGCGGATGGGAGTGTACCAAAGCTCTCCCACGTACAGGGACGGGTCCACTACTCCGATGATCTAAGAGCATAAGGAAAAGTTAAATCCAGCCGGGTCTCCCAATACGACATTAGATGATTTGTGTGTGTTAGTGTGTGTGTCTCACCATGCTGCCACCAACAGTAGCGCTACCCAGGGAGTCGTTTTGGGAAAAGCCTGCTCCACACAACTGCAGAGAGAAGAGGTTGGGAACACGAGTCTGCCGAACTAGAGAGTCGAAGAAAGGCACCAATGTCTCGTCAGGCTGTAGAAAGAAAGAGGGGGGGGTGTGTGAGAGATAGCTTAATTTCTGAATGCCCATACTGTTTTTAGTTTCAGCTTTACATGTCGATAAAATGGAGCAAACCTAATTCTTCCAATCAGTAAACCGTTTGTAATTTTTGTCAATCACAAATGTGTTTCTTTTCACATCTTCCAAATGTCAGGTTGAACTGGAGTTATCTAAAAATATATCCCACATCCAATGTCTTCATTCCATGTCATCAGGGAATACATGTAGCCTAGTCATTTTGACTTTGACTTTCTTCTTTATATAATGTCCAAATATATATACAGTATGTTACAGTTGTAAAAATAGAGAGTACTCATCGACTATAAAAGCATGGTTTCTCGGCGATGAAATTTAATGATTTGACAACCGAGGTGCTGATGTGTATGGTCGGACCTGTGCTGCAGAAAAAAACCTCATTCATGGGGAGGTATTTTTCAGATTTTCATAAACCAAGGGATACGCTGCTCTTACCCGGGCTATGTCGGCGTAGGCCAGTCCCAGGATTCCCTCCCAGTTGGATCCGTTGATGAAGAAGCGATCTGACTGGGTGATGGCAGCGATGTTGGCGCGCAGCGTGGCGTTGGGGCCGTGGGGGACGGAGACCAGGTCCGTTCCCAGCTCCCCCTCCCAGCGACCCTGCGTGTAGGGAACATACACACTCCTGCCCTGATCGCGGTACGACCCGGAGCTGTCAATGAGTAGTGAGATAACAGAGTGGGAGAAAAATGAGAGGGAGTTAGCGTACAGTGGAGGGGAAAGAAGAGGGTTTGGTTTTGAGGGAATATCATATGTTTTATTTTTAAATGACCATTCAGTTCAATACAATTAACAAGGTGGACTCCTTGTTAATCGCATGTTAACATAATCAGTGTAAAGGTGGAAATAATTATTTGTTTTTCCTCTACAATATCACCTGAAAATGCTGCGAGATATTTGGTTAAAAAAAACACATTGGTGCTCTAAGACGATATTCAGGTGATCAGGTGAGTGGGTGTTACCTTGGTTGATGATTGGCTAATGGTTACACAAGCCAAAGAAACGTTATGACATCATAAAGTGGCCAAAATCTGATCAGCTCATTCTCAGGCAGGTTTTTATATAAATTGATCAGGACAAAAAGAGAGCGAATATTTTTTCCTGAAACTTTCAGAATCTCTTTACACATAGGGGACACATGTTTATGTATAAAATACATGAAAAAGGGGATTTTGCATATTAGGTGACCTTTAATAAAATGGGGAAGACGTAGGACTGTATATTTTATTCCTGGTGTCTCTACTCACAGTGAACGATGGTAGTATCTGCGCAGGAAGGGATGAGCAGCGGCCCCCACAGCAAAGTTACTACTTCCTGTGTCCACCAGGATGTTCAACTAGTGAGAGGGAAGAAAGACACAGAGACATTTATTAAATATATGCAGTGTGCGTTTATTTACAAAAATCAATACGTTTGTAAAACAGACATTGTGAAATTGATTAGGTTCCATCTCTGAAGGGCAAGTTTAATCATCAGTATCTTGGCTACCTTGGAGACAGACATTTGGAAATATATTTCTGTGAGGGGTTTTTAATGTCTGCTATTGATATCTTACTATTGATATTCTACCTATATATATATTGGCAGTCCTACAGGCTAATGTTCTCTTTCACAGGAAGTAGTCAGCGTCACATCACACAGATTTTCATTTTTCATCTGTCATTCTCGGTATCCATTTCTCTTCCCTTGTAGTGTCCTGTGCTGTTTCCTGTTGCCCTAGATGTCCTTCTCCGTCCCCTCTCTGCCTCCACTCTCACCCCCCACTCATCTCAGGTTGCTTTTTCTACTCCCTCTCTCCCCCATCTCCTCATCTCCTGTCTGCATCTCTTTGTGAGTATCATATTTTGCGCCATCAGTCAAAACAGTTAGTGAATGTGTGAATGGAGCCCGATGGCAGATGCCGATGAAGAAAAACTCAAGTTTATATATTATAATGTAGAAATTGTGAGAAAATAGCAAAGCAACTTCTATATTTGATCAAATAATGCGTTTGTTGTTTACCAGCAAAACAATAGGGAGAGAACTGCTGTAAACAGTTACTCTCATACTGACACTGTCCAATTGTTGAAAAAACATGTTGATTGCTCATGTTTTATCACAATGGTAAATGATGTCCTTAAAGTCTGCCATTAATCATCGTTTACACATGAAATTATCCATGCCTACAATTTGAAGCTACCTATTTCAAATGATTTTTCGTTCTGTTTCTTTTTTTATGTACTGCTGCTTTACACCATTTATCTGGTGATACATTTTAATGCATTCCCAATTGTCTAGTTGTAATTGAGTTCAATCAATGCATCAACATTTATATGGTTGTATTCAACATGTACTCATGTGATTCGTGTAAGGACATACTTTGCTAATATACTGATTGATAAATCAAAGGGACTATAGATAGACAGTTTGCTACAGAAACACCATAACAGATGAACAGACGGGCGGTCAGATACAGCCACAGCAAGCCGTTCAATAATGGATTGGCTCTTTAAATATCCAGGATAGTGCTACTGTCTCAGGGGCTGGGCCTGAAAGCCCAGGATAAATATGGACTCTGTCTAACAAACACACACATCTCAATGATAACACACACACAAGCCTGCATATGCTGTTTCTACTAACACCTCTACAGTCAAAGTGTAACAATGCTCAACACACCCTGTCTTCCTCTCTTTGCCAGAAATGTGCTGACTGCTTTGGTTGATTCTGTTTCCCTCACACACACTAAAGGCTCCATCCTGACACACTGAGCCTTCAAGTATTCCCCTATTCCCCTGTCTCTCTCTCTGTCTTCCTGTCGTCCCTGGCAGAGTGCCAGTCTTTTCCTGCCATTATATCTGCCCTCCCGCCTTCACTACGGAGGAGAAATCATCTAGTGTTTACCGGAACACATCGTATCTGAAAGTTACTGTAGATGATTTGAGATCGTTTCAACAATTTTGCATCTACCAACCATATCAAAGGTTATACAAGGCCTGTACAGCTTATGCAATTACGATAATTTCATTTCAATATCATTTACCCAACGATTGATGCATCAATTTATAAAAAGTATGTTTACCTTGATGCAGGCTCTTTCATAGACATAAAAACATTCCGATAATTTGATTCAAGATGCCTTAATACTCTTTAAGGGCCTGCTAATGGTTTGTATCTGTGTTGTTATCGTCATGGATATCCTGACTATTCATTTTAATTAATTATATGGTCATTGACACCTGACTAGTGCGTTTCTGCTGGTTGATCTGGAGTGGAGACTGCTGTTTTTGCTACAGTTAAGGTCATGCTTCAGTTTGGCATATGAAAAAAGGGTGTGGCTTTCCTGAGATCCTTAATAATTCCAGTATGTATTAGAAACCTAGAAACGTAAATGTATTAATCAGCTTCATATGATGAGCAAACACATTTTATTGCTGAAGTTAGTGCAGTTTCGTTTGCTAAACCTACATTTTTCAAGCAAGAGATTTCTGTTTTTTTTTGTCATATATTGACTTAATTGTCTCTAGGGCGGAGGTCATGGAACTGGTGGTACCTATGGCTCCTATTGAGTGTTGCAGGAATGAGTCCTGAAACCCACAAATGAGCTAGCATTTATTTTTGTGAGATGCCTGAAATTAGGTCTCTGGTTAATACAAGCTAAATCGATATTCATGTTTACTCACCAACATAAAATATGTCACTAAATACCCCACTGGTGAGTGTGTGAAGCTTCTTTTTGTCATAAAACAACAGTTGCTAACAAGTGACTATGAGAGTACTTCATCGTCATCACGCCAAACACGAGTCGGCCTTTAGCTTAACGATGGCAACGTGAAGTCAAGCGACTGTGATGTATGTTTAAAGTTATGTTAGCTTTTTACTTCTGGCAATTGCATTTACAGGCTGACAAAACGTGTAGGTATCATAAACATGTGTCAACCAGGAATAATCTGAAACCCAATGGAAAGATTCCATTGCTTTTTGTCGAGTGAGCCCCTGTGATGCTTTATTCTGGGTCAGCCTAAGAAAATATGTCATTGCACCAGTCAATTGACACTGTAGTGATTTCTACCTGTATTACACCCTCTGGCCCATACACTCTTTGGTACACATCCATAGCAAACAAAGATACAGCGGTTCAGAGAATACCCTGAGCAAGGGATGGATCCCAGAGCACAAACAACACAACACTTTGTCCGTCTTTGCTGACCAAACTCAACCTCAAGCACTATGCCGAAACATTAGTGTCTCTCAATGGAAGGTTCACCTCCACTTGTCACTCATCTCTCGCCATTGTGTTCATTCATTTTTTCAACTCCTCCCTCTTTCACCTTCTTCTCCTCTTCTACCACCTCATCACTTTCTCTCTGTTCCTCACCCTCTGGGTGCCAGCCTGTACACCACAGCTGCACTTGGCTGGCACTCCTCACTCTGCAGAATTAATGGTTCCATTATCTGTCTGTATCCGTCAGTTCTTTCACACACACACACACACACACACACACACACACACACACACACACACACACACACACACACACACACACACACACACACACACACACACACACACACACACACACACACACACACACACACACACACACACACACACACACACACACACACCATCTGTCACTTCAGGGCCGTCAACATTATTGCAAATCGCATAGTACATTGGACAAACGCATCCTCTACCACCGACTTGTATTTTGCATTCCCTATTTACAGTAACTATGTATATCTTACATAAAAAATTGCCTGTTACAGCAATGTACGACAATATTGATATACAGGGACACAGGGACGTGCACAGACATTTGGAGGGGCTATTGCTCTAAACTGGAAAAAGGGCCTCCCCCCGGAAAAAAACATAAGACCTTTTTGAANACACAAGGCCACAGCAGCTCAGCTGGTCAGCACTGCCCATATTCGGGGGAAAGGCCTGTGGGGGCCCATCCATGAACTGGGACACAACCAACAGAGAGGCTGCTGGGAATTCAAACCAAACACCACAGAGTGCACATGCAACCTGTGGTCAGTGTATGTGCATGAAGAGGTGTTCGGGATCGAAAGGGGAAAGGTAGAGTCAATGTTTTGACAAAACAACTGAAACCAATGGCTAGAAAAGCCTGGTCTTCAAATGTAATAACACTCAACTGTTGGTTTTAGCTAATTTCTTGTTTAACAGTGATATCATTTCATCTTTATTTAACAAAAGTCAGTCTAAAGAGAAGTCAGAGCACTCAGCCAAAATTATTAATTTTGATCTTTTGTTATGTCTGACGTGGATATCCAATAATAATTGCAATCTTAAATTGCCACTATTTGTGTCCAGTGACTTATAGAAAATAGAAGACTATTACAGCTTACCAATTTGACATGTATTACTGGCATGCAGCGCCATATGTTGTGGCAGTATTAAAATCAAATTGGAGTTCTGTCATTAATTTCAATGTTATACCAAATGTCCTGCTATAGGCCTTGAACTCAAATTTGCAATAAACCCAACACGGCAGACCTTCATGGTTCAATAGGCTTAATTTGTTTTGCATCCTGTGATCAGTTCTATTTCTTGGGAATAATTAGCATATGCTATCCAGTTGTGGCTTGTTCCAAATCATCGAAAAGTGAGCAATGGGACAAATAATTAAAGTCATAAACCAGTACAAACTACCACTTTGTGTTTAACCTTAATACAGCTGCAAGTCTGAAGCCCCATTTGACCCAGTGAGGCTTTAATGCTCAATAAACACTAAACTAAAGGGGTGGGAAAATGTCATTTACCTGTGTCTCCTTCCATGCAGCTCCAAGATAAGTTTGGCTGGGATGCCTTTAAGAAAGTGTTTGCTGCCTACTTCAAAATCAGCTCTCCAAAGGACAACAGTGGAAAGATGAACCGGTATGCTGCGAACTTCTCCCAGACTGTGGAGATGAACCTGTCCGCGTTCTTTAAGTCCTGGGGCTGGCCCATCAACGCAGCCACCGAGGAGAAACTCAGCACCCTGCCTCCTTGGAGCGACCCCCCCCATGGTCCAGTATGGCTGAACTGCCGACTGCTGCTCATTACATTGCAGATAAATGGTTTATCAACAGTTAACATGACTAGGTCTATTCGTGAATAATCTGAATTAACTGCATGTTTCCTACATTCAGGCTGTTTGTAAGACAGCAACTTGTCTTAATGTTTTCCAGTTGTTCGCCTCACTGTCAATAAAACAGTCATATAAACAGTGGTTTTCCCTCTATTTATTTGTATTCATGTACTTGTGGTTGATAGAAAACAAGGGATGTGTTATTCGTAAAGCTGTTAAACTGTAACATGCACCCTTTTCATAACATTGTGAAAATCATTTAGATTTGTAAGTGTATTGTCACGTTAGATAATGTAAAATCATACAGTAGGTAATGGCATCATCCCTTTACCTTTATTCTATAACTCATTGCATTCCATTTCGCTGTAAATTACTGCTTTATTTTATTGCTATTTAACTATATTTTATTACAGTGTCCTTAAAGATTTT